GGAGGGAGATAGAGAGAGAGAGAAACATCAATGTGCGGTTGCTGGGGGTCATGGCCTGCAACCCAGGCATGTACCCTGACTGGGAATCGAACCTGCGATACTTTGGTTTGCAGCCTGCGCTCAGTCCACTGAGCTATGCCAGCCAGGGCCTAAACTTTTTAAAAGTGAAGTAATTTATTCTTTTTTTAAAATCCTCACCTGAGCATATGTTTATTGATTTTAGAGAGAGAGGAAGGGAAAGAAAAAGAGAGAAACATTGATTGGGATCCCTATGCACTCCCTAACCCCTGGGAATCAAACCCACAACCTAGTTATGTGTCTTGATGGGGAATTGAACCTGCAACCTTTTGGTGTTCAGGATGATGCTCCAAGCAACTGAGCCACTTAGTGGCCAGGGAATCAGCCCTAATTCCAGCAATCTATTGAATATGTTATGTTGCTAGATCATATACCACATCTTACAGTTTTACTTCAGTCAATGACCAAGCTTAGGCCAAAGGAGAAATTGTGTTCATTGGCATCATGAAAGTATTATGTTTGTGGTTAAACTTTCATGTATTACTTTAATAAATAGTAAAACACAAATTTTAAATGTGTGGGGAAAGACATAAATAACATAGTTTATTCTTGAAAATAATGGAGATTAAAATTATTTCATTCAGATTTACCTGTGCCTAATGGGAAAAGTGATGTGCAACTTGATTCTCCACCTGCAAAGAAAAGAAAAATAGGTTTTTTACAGACTTACGATGCAGAATACTTAAAGGTTGGTTTCCTTATCTATCCGGGATCAAAAGCAAGTCCACCAAGGTCACAATGTGTTATTTGTGGAGAAATCTTATCTGCTGAAAACATGAAGCCAGCAAATCTTTCTCATCATTTAAAGACAAAACATTCAGAATTAGAAAACAAACCAGTAGATTTTTTTGAACAAAAATCTCTTGAGATGGATTGTCAAAACAGTTCTTTTAAAAAGTGTTTACTAGTTGAAAAGTCACTTGTGAAAGCTTCTTATTTAATTGCTTTCCAAATTGCTGCCAGCAAGAAGCCATTCTCCACTGCCGAAGAGTTAATTAAACCATATTTAGTAGAAATGTGTTCAGAAGTTGTGAGTTCAAGTGCTGGAGACAAAATGAAAACCATTCCTCTTTCTAATAACACAATTGGACACAGGATTGATGAACTGTCTGCAGACATTGAAGATCAGCTGATTCAGAAAGTCAAAGAGTCAAAGTGGTTTGCCCTTCAGATAGATGAGTCTTCAGAAGTCTCAAATATCACCCTTCTTCTGTGCTATGTTCGTTTTATTGATAATGATTGTAGTGATATAAAAGAAGAATTATTATGTTGTATTGAAATGCCTTCTCAAGTAACTGGTATTGAAATATTTGAACTAATAAATAAATATATTGATAGTAAATCTCTGAATTGGAAACACTGTGTTGGTCTCTGTACAGATGGGGCTGCAAGCATGACTGGCAGATATTCTGGTTTAAGGGCAAAAATTCAAGAAGTTGCTATGAATACAGTGGCATTTACACATTGTTTTATTCACCGTGAATATTTAGCAGCAGAAATGTTGTCTCCATGCTTACATGAAATTCTTCTGCAGTCAGCACAGATTTTAAGTTTTATAAAGACCAATGCACTGAATTCACGTATGTTAACAATTTTGTGTGAAGAAATGGAGTCTGAGCATGTAAATTTACCACTTCCTGCTGAAGTACGATGGATATCGAGAGGGAGAGTTTTAACAAGATTATTTGAATTACGACATGAAATTGAAATTTTTTTAAATCAAAAGCATTCAGATTTGGCCAATTACTTTCTTGATGAGGAATGGGTTGCCAGGCTGGCCTATTTATCAGATATTTTTTCACTTATAAATGAACTAAATTTAAGCCTCCAAGGAACTATGACCACACTCTTCAGTTTGTATAATAAAATGGATGTATTTAAGGAAAAGTTAAAGATGTGGTTGAAGCGCACACAAGAGAATGATTATGATATGTTCCCTTCATTTTCTGAATTCTCAAACTCATCAAGCTTAAATATGAGAAGCATTGCAGGCATTGTTTTTGATCACCTGGAAGGACTTTCTCGAATGTTCAATGACTGTTATCCACCAGAAGAAGACTTGCGTTCAGGAAATTTGTGGATAGTTAATCCTTTTATGAATCACCAGGATAGTAATCTCAAGGATTTTGAAGAAGAAAAACTAGCAAAGTTATCTTCAGATTTAGGATTACAATCAGTATTTAAATCAATGTCTGTAACTCAGTTTTGGATAAAAGCAAAGACAAGTTACCCAGAACTTCATGAAAGAGCAATGACATTTTTATTGCCTTTTTCAACTGTTTATTTATGTGATGCTACATTTTCAGCTTTGACTGAGTCAAAACAAAGAAATCTGTTGGTCTCTGGCCCTGCTCTAAGACTTGCGGTCACATCTTTAATTCCAAGGATAGAAAAATTAGTAAAGGAGAAAGAATAGTGAATGTATATTGCTTATCAGATTCTATAATTGTGTTAAATTTTGTATAAGTATCCTAAAATATAATTTCTTAATGTGGATATGTGTTTTCAGTGATTAAATACTTTAATAATTTTTCTCTTTTTGTTGAGGAATTTAATCATTGTGCATTTATACATAATAGTTTATAATTTTAAGAGTCCACCGTAGAGAATTTAGCTGTTTCATTAAGTGATTGAATAATTTGGATCAGTGACCAAGATGTAGTTAATGAAAGGCCTAATGTATAATGTAACAGATAGCACACCTGGATGTTGAAACTGTTTGGCCTTTAGAAGCACCTGGGATGCGCGTTAGTCTGCAGACAGCCTGCCTCCTACTGCAACAGGTTGAGGGTAGGTAGAAAAAAAAAGATTTAAGCAGCTTGGCTAACAGGAAATGCAAACAGCCTGAGAGTTTGAGACTCCGGTAGGGGGCCTCTCTGGCTCACTAGACGAGCATTTTGCAACCTTTTTTGGAAAGGGCCAGATAGCGAACATTTTAGGCTTTGCAGGCCATGGGTGGTAACTACAGTACCCAGTTCTGCGGTTGCAGCACAAAAGCAACTGTAGACAATACACAGACAAATGAGTGTGGCTGTGTTTCAATTAAACTGTTTATTTGTGAACATTGAAATATGAATTAATATAATTTTCCTGTGTCCTGAAAGCTGCCTTTAAAATTTTTATCATTAAAAAATGTAAACAAACATTGTTAGCTATGGGAGGGAGAAGGAGTAAAAAAATCCAGATAGTTGACCCAGTCTGGCCCAGTTTGTCCATCCAGGTCTACACAGATTTCCAGGTAAGATCAGATGGGCCAGAAGTGGCCAGTAGGGATTTTCTGTGAAAGCCTCTCTTCCCACAGCTGCAAGTGTTAATGGGGAACAGCACCAGATGCTAGACCTTGGTCCTTCAATTTGTCTAAGAAGAGAATTCAGAGGCAAGGAACTCAGAGACATGCCAAAGTTTATTTAAAGTCACATGGGTAGAAGAAGTGAGCCAGCTAGGCAGTGTGGACTCAGGAAGCAAGATACAAAGGCAGAAAAAGGGCTCTTGGAGCTTAGGACAAAGAAAGGCAAAGAAAATGTGCCTGGAGGAAAGGTGAGATCATGCGGGGGGGGGGGGGGGGCGGGAGGGGGAGAGACGGAGGGAGAAGGGAGAAGGGAGAAGAGAGAGCACACTTGCTGGGTCCTTTGTTTTAAGGGCTTTTATCTGTAGGTCTCGGGGAGGATCTTAACGATGTATTCATCAGCTTTCCAAGTGTGTCTCCACTGATGGGTCCACCAAGGCAGGGGATCATTAGTCGCTGTCAACCATGGTGTTGCCCTACCTGACCTTGCTGCTTTTCTGGGTCTAGTGCAGAAACAAAACTGAGGCCTAGATGTTATATGTACTTTGACCAAAACTCTGCCTCTGTGGTCATCAGACCTGAGACTGTTGCTAAGCTTATCTGATGAGGGTCAAAACCTCATTGTTCCGAGGGCTTGCTTAAGGGAGTGGTAGTACAAGGGAGTCTAATGAGGCTGTTGTCCTGACCCCTGTTGTTCCTCTAAGGGAGTTTACTGCAGAATTGACTATATACCAGGGGAGGAAAGGTTAGGGGAGAATCCAAACTTCAGGACCAGCCATATGAAAGGTCAGGGAGGCTAAATCACATGACCAGTCATATGCAAGGGGAGGAACTGTCACTCTGGGGGCAAAGTCCCACCCTACAATTCTGTTCCCAGTTTTGACTGTTGCTAGGCACCTGGAGCCCCAGCCCTGGACCCTTGGCCATGGTGACTTATCTACTCTGCTCATGCCTAACAGCCTACTATATCACAAGTATCTGAATTTTCAAACACCCTTTATAATCTAATTTCAGATGCGAGAAATTAGAGGGAAAATAGGTTTCAGGCAAAGTAAAAGGCAATTTATGACTAGTTATTTATTTATTACTAATAATTTCATAAATTAATCTAATTTGCAAATAACTTTTTGAGCTCATACATGCGCCAGGCATTGTGCCAGGCATTGTGCTAGGCCTGTCACAGACTCAGGAGGACTGATGCAGCATTAACCTCACTTACAGAAGCAAGTAGCAGTCTCACTGAAGTTAGGTGACAGCTCAGATCTCAAAGCTAGGGTGGGACAGGCAGGGATGAAGCCATGGTCTTTTGATCCTAAGGGAGAGCTTCTGCAAGCCACGTCCAGATACCCGTGTTTGACTCCGCCCTGTCTATATTGACTGGGAGATTTTTACTTTAATTTATTGGGACCCATTTGGTCAGTTAAGAGCCAAGTGGGTCCCAGGTTCCCATCTGCGGCAAACGCCCTCCTATCTGCCGCCCCCCCCAACGGGTGCTGGGACAAAAGAGAGGGTGGTAACACTCATGAGAAACGAGGAAAGGGAGGCTTTAGCTAGCGTCCTCTGGGAGCCTGGAGACAGGAGGAAGTGAACCGGGGGCAGGGGCGGGTTTTCGGAGGGCCTGACCCCGGCGGCGAGTGAGCCCGCCCTCCCAGAGGGCCAGCGTGGCCATGGCGCTCCTGCTCACTGCTCTGCGCGTCCTGCTAGGCGGCTTCTTCGCGCTCACGGGGGTGGCCAAGCTCTCGGAGCAGATCGCAGCTCCCGTGTCGCAGCAGATGGTGAGCGGCGTGGCGTGGGTAGCGGGCGGATGGTCCCTAGCGGTTACCCGCCGTTACCCGGGTACCCGGCGCCCCGCCCCCCGTCTGCCTGCACCTGTGCCCCGCTGACCCTCCTGCCTTCGGGTGAGATGGCGCTAGAGCTGGGGGAAAAGCACTGGACCTTGACGTCGACGTTGACGCCTGCCTGGGCTGTTTCTCTTAGTTCTGTGGATCTTCCGTAGACAGAAGGGATTGGGCACGTCTCCTTCCAGCTGAGCACTGGCGGCCTAGGCAAAGCCAGAGCCGCAGGAAGAATGCTTCGGGACCCTGGGGAAGAAATATGGAATGGAAAAAGGGACACAGTTCCTTCCCTGCCCCTTTCCCCTCCTTCCTTTGCTTGAGTTCTTCGGAGCCTCGTGAGGCAGGGCTTTATTAATCCCCGCTTGCCAGGGCAGGAAACCTGCCCTGAGAGTGGAGAGGTTACACATCAGGACAGGAAGTAGCACCCAAATTAGGCACTCCTAATTTATAATCCTGAGAGCCTTTTTCCTGAGGATGGGGCGTGAGGGGGAGGCCTAGAAGTTGCCCTTAGGCCATCTGTCTAGTTCTAGACTCTAGGGAAATGTTTAGTGGTCATGTTCTTATGCCCACTAAACAAGCTTCCCAAGCCAGACTTGGCGACCCCTGCCAGCTCCCTCTCCCAGGCCTGGATTCTCCCATTCTGTCCTGGCATAAGGTTGTGGGTTTGGGCAACTTCATCCCCAGAGTCAGACAGCTTAGAGCTTCCTGACATTGCTGAACAGGGGAGGTAGCGCTGAGGTGGGGGAGCAGGCAAAGGTAGCCAACCAGAGGGATGGGGTGAAGTTGTGTCCCAGGATGGAGCCTGACTCAGCATGATGAGTTGCTCTGAGTGAGCCCCCTTAACTCCCCTTGTGTCTACTACAGTAGAATCCGGGCATCAGCGTATGCTGTAGAAGATGGAATCTGTTTAATGAGCCCTTTCATCCCCTTTCCCAACCCCAAATATTCCCTGCATAGTACTTGAAGAGAAACGGGGCCAGGCAGAAAGGAAAGCTGTGGATTCCCAAGGCCTAGGCTCTAGATTGAAGGCTCAAGCCTCCTTGTTTCCTCTTCCTGAAATTTGGGACTCATTAATGAGTCCAATGAGAAAAACAGTCCATCTCTGCAACACCATCCAGCCCTTCTCCTTAGAGCATGAAGCCTGTTAACTGATTCCAAAACTCAGCCCCACAGGGAGGCTCTCTCCTTTCCAGGCTGAGCTCAGCCAAGAGTACTAGCTCTTTGTTGGGGAAGTTGATATTGGCACCAAACGCCCCTGTGGAGCACCTGGGCAGTGAGTGGATCCTTGGTGAGTGGCTGACAGGTGTTCCCTGCCACCCCTAGAAAGCCCTGTTCGTGCAGTTTGCTGAGGTGTTCCCGTTGAAGGTGTTCGGCTATCAGCCAGATCCCATGAGCTACCAAGTGGCTGTGGGCTGGCTGGAACTGCTGGCTGGGTTGCTGCTGGCCCTGGGCCCACCGAAGCTGCAAGAGATCAGTAACTTTCTTTTGATCGTGCTCATGATGGGTAAGGGGGGTCCATCTGGGCAGGGGGAAGGGGAACTTCTCGGGGAGGATGATGGGAAGACCTGGCTGTTCCTCTGTTCCCCTTTGCTGTTGCCTTCCTCCCTGTTCCTCTGCAACCAGGAGCACATCCTGCTGTGGTGCTGTTTCCATGGTCTTCAGACTAGGACAGGTGCTTTTCAAACCTCATCTACTATAACACAATTTCATGCCAAATATACCTTCTACCTCATCAATTCTATTGGCTGCATGGTATTCCATTGTAAGGATGCACTGCAACCTAAAAGCTCCTACTGCTCTCCCCTATCCCACCCCTGAGATGACAGGACAGAGTAGCAGCTGCTGCTTGACTTATGTGTCTGGCAGTTGGGAACAAGAAGCTGAGCCCCTTGAATAGAAAGGCAGAGAATTTACCTGAGGCAAGAAGTCCTGGAAGGCCTCCCCTCACAGCAGCTCTGCCCCCAGGTTTTGCTGATGTACAAAGATAGCTGCTGCTTCAAAGACCGGACATGTGTGGGCTCTTCTGTACCCCAGGCCTCACGTCACCATTGCTGCCTCCACTGCCACCCCTCCCCTGCCTTGCTTTCCATCTCTGGAGCTTCCCTCATTTTCAGGTCTTTCTTTCACTTCCACCATCAACCCCTGGTCCTCCTGCCCTCCAGTAGGATTAAGAAAGGTGTTGGGGCAGGGAGAATTTTTTCCCAATGCCTGTCTCGCCATCTCCCTGCCCTATTTGGTTGTATTGTTCCTGTTTTCTTGTTGACCTCTGAGAGGGGTTACATTAGTTCAAAAAGCTTCTGATCTCTGGGAGGCCAGGGAGACAAGGGCAGCTAGTTTGGGGGATGCTTAATGGGAGGACTTGAGCTGGAGTGGGTCAGCCTAGGCTGGAGAGCCCTGAGCTCCTGCCATCTCCTGGGTGCCCACAGGGAACCTCTGAGACCTGACTTTCCATTCCAGGGGCTATCTTCACTTTGCTGTCTCTGAAAGAATCACTGATCACCTGCATCCCGGCTGTCGTCTGCCTGGTGCTCCTGCTGGTGCTGGATATCTGCCAGGTCGTAGTCAAAACTCAGAAGGTTGTGGTCACACCCACTGGGAAGAAGACTCCATGTACAGTCACGAGAGTAGAGTGATGCAGGGTGAGAGTAGAGTGTCTCTTGCTTCTCTGTGCCATGTCACTTTCGCAGCAAGAACACAGAAGGACACAGAATCTACCACCTTGTAACCAATGTCATATATCCAGGGTCAAATTATGGCCAGGGTTGAAACAGATATCTTGTCTACCTGGCCCCGCTTTCTCTCTTGACATCTCCTGGCCTTCTTTGGCGTTTACTAGCATTCCTCTTTTCAATTCCTTTGTATAACTGTACCTTTTAATTTTTTCTATGCCTTTACATGGATTTTTGAAAATGAAATTATTTTATTTACATTTTAAAATAAATTTTTATTATCTGCTTTTTAAAGCTAATGTACTGTACAGCATTCCTTGTGTGTTCTACGTTGTTGATGTTGATGGTTGTGTAGTAATACTCCATTACAGGGAGGTACTGTAATGTATTGACTGAAGCCCCCACTGAGGAACATTTGGATTGTTCCCATTTTTTTTTTTACTGTTGCAAACCTCACAGTAAATCACCTTTGCATACTTACTTTCCTTTCCTAGAAGTGACAGCATGTATTCAAAAGGCATGCATGTTTTTAAGGTTTTATTACGTACACATTGAGCGTGGCAGAGTATAAGTGCCTGCTTCTGCCTGTGCCCTTCCAGACCGAGCCACACGAAGCATTCCTTCCTATTTCTTTTTATCTTGGGCCTTTTACATTTGCAAAGCTAACAAAGATGGGCATTAAGTCATTATTTTACAGGACCTGAAACTGCCAGCCTCTGGTGGTAAGGCGTGGCACTCTGGGTAGTGCTCCTTGGACCCCTACAGGGAAGCAGGAGGCGGACAACTCTGAGGGATGCTGCCTGTGAGAGCAGCGCTGGAAGCCGGGGATGAGTCCCGGAGGTCCTGGGGAGTCAGGAGGATGTGTGCGTGGCAGTTCTCAATGGAACGTGACTATCACATTACCAGCCTTCACCACACACACACACACACACACACACACACACATCTACGTCTAATAGTATGTATATATGTAGTAGTGCACACATACTACATATAAGAAGCTTTCACTTACATAAGAGGTCCAGAGATAACATAGTTTTAGTCTCAGTGTTGGGTAATCTGGCTGCCTTGTGATGACATCACGGACTGATGTTTTTTTCAACTTTGCTCTCAGTCTATTGGCCGCTGCCCTCAGGGTCACCTAACACCCAAGGTGCAAAGAAAGTTTTCCTAGAAGACCCCAGGTTTCCCCTCACATCCCACTGGTCAGGGTTATGTCACATTTCCATTCCTAGACCAAACACTAGCAAGGAGAATGGACTTCTCAGGATGGATTTAAACTAGCTAAGATTTACCCACACTGGTCAGGGAGGGAGGGGGGTAGAAAATGGTTCCTGCCATTTGCTAGCTTATGTGAAGAATTTGTTTAATAATGGTAAATACTTCTTTTGAGTTGCTGTGAGGATTTAGTGGGTTAAAGTGTTTACAGTGTTGCCTGGCAGATAGTAAGTGGTCAGTAAATGCTATTATTAAATACTGGTCTGTTCTACAGATGAGAAAATGGATTCAGGAAGCTTAAATGCCTTTGTGTCAGACATGAGACTAGAATTAAGGCCTGATTGACTCCAGAATGCACACTTTCCACTCCATCAGCTGCCAAAGTCAGAAGTGGGCAGGCACGGCACCCTTGCTCTCCTCACATTGATGGTACATAGGATGATCTGTCCAATGTGATTCAGTCTGCCTTGCTTTTCAGAATCGCCCCTCTGCATGAAAATTTTGAAGCCCATGAAAGCAGAGCCTAGATCCCCTCGCATCCCAGCCTCTTACTACCCCTTCTAGGATGCCACCGCCAGGCTGTCTCCCGTCAGGACTTTGAGTGAAACCCCTCACAGCTCACATTAGATTGAGGGTTTTTGTTTACTAAGGCTTGGTCTGTAAGCTGGTTATTTGCTACAGGACTCCTCATCCCCTAAGCTTGGCTGGAGGGCCCACCCAGCAGCTGTGGGAAAGACAGGGTGCTAGGGGAGTGGGCTGGCCAGCTGGTGTGGAGGAGCAGTTGGGATTGACAGCAGCAAGAGTATCTTGAGCTCCAGCAGTGGCTCCTCAGCCCAAGGAGAAGCCAGGCTCCAGGAAATGTGCTCCCCAAACTGCAGCCAAAACCTGCCTCAGGTGAGCCCAATGACGTTCTGCTGCCAGAGCTTCCTTATACTTTTCTATCTCCCTCCCCGTGCCCTCTTGCTCTGCAATGACACTCCCACCCCTTGGGGTCCTGGCTGCACACCACAAACCCAGCTCACAGCTGCCACGGATGGGCCTCAGCCCCTTCAGCTGTTGGGCCCAACCTTCATGTCATGTCCTGGGATTAATCTGTTGATGGGAGGGTGTGGAATGTGTGGGTGGAAGTGGATTCTGTTTTGTCTCAGCTCCTTAAAGCCAGGTCCCAGGGCTCCAGAGAGAGCTGCAGCAGCCAGAACAGCAAGAGGTAAGAGAGGACTGATCAGGTGGGATGGCAAGTGCAGATTCAGGGTGGACAGCCAGGGACTAGAGCCATGGTGGACAGACCTGAGAGGGAGGGCAAGAAAGGAATGCACTCCCTGAGGTTTCCACAAAGGATTGGAACCTGAGAGGTTCAAAGGCAAAAGTATTGCAATACGAATTTTGGTGTTGGAGGAACCGAGTTTGGGGGCACCCTAGGAGTTTGCTTATGTGTCCAAAATAGGAACAGGACACTGGCTGGTGTACTTACCTGCCTTGGGGAGAGAAGAGGAATACGCCCAGATGCCTCTGTGTTTTGTTTGCTCAGGGTGCCTGTGTCTCTGACGCTGCGTGTGTGCCTGTGTGGGTGTACACAGTTATCTGTGCGCTGCCTAGAGGGGAAGGGAGCTAATGGTTATGAAGTACCTCCCCACTGTCAGCCACAGTGCGCAGAGTTTTACTTATGTTTCCTCATAATCCTCCCAACAACACTGAGGTAGGTATTTTAATCGCCATTTTACAGCAGGGAAGACAGGTTCAGTGAAGCCGAGTAATTTGCCCAAGGTCACATGGCAAGGAAATGTGTGTATCTAGAATCTCCTTGATTCCAGGGCCTGTGCTCTTTTTTGTTTGTTTGTTTTTAATTTCCAGCTTTATTTATTTATTTTGCCAGTTTTATTGAATTTATTGGGGTGACACTGGTTAACAAAATTATACCGGTTTCTCGTGCACAGTTCTACAACACGTCATCTGTGCATAGGGCCTGTGCTCTTTTTGCTTTGCTGTCCGGTGTTTTGAGTCAGATACAGGACTTCTTTGTGGTCAAAAGGCAAGAGGGTAGGAAACAGTCTGGAAGGCCTGAGAGTTGTGAAACCTTTTCAGCTCCGCCCAAGGTATTCCAGGAAAGCCCCAGGGCAAGACCTTTACCAAGACAAGTCCAAGATCACTGTACATGGGCCTGTCCTCTGGATCAGTGCATCATAAGACGGCTCCTCCATCCATGCCCTGCTGGCTCCCCCACCGATCTGGATGGTTTGGGTTCTTTTTGGGGAGGGTTCTCTGCGGGACTTCTGGGTGGCGCAGCCTTGCTGGGGCTGACTGCACATGCCTGTGCCCCCACATGTCTGAACCACACTCCCTCTGCGAGGGGCATCTCCACCCTCCCAGGCACCAGGTTGGAAATTTCCAAGCTATCTGGGACTTCTGCCTTTTCCTCACTTCCCACAGCTTGTCAACAATCCCACTCAACTTCAAATAACTCTGGAGTCCTTCCCTTCCTCTCCATCCTTCTTGGGTGCTGGGTGAGCTCAGTCCTCATCCCCTTCACTGCCCAGCAAGGACTGAGGAGGAGGGGTCAGGGGTTGGGGGAAGGTGGTAAGCCTCTGCAGTGACCTTCTTCTTTCCTTAGTCCAAGGTTCGAGATAAATAGCAGCACTGGGGACCTGGGTGGTGGCAGCTGCAGCCCCTGGGATGACGTTGCCCACTTCATTGTGGTGGCTATGGCTACACATTGGCACTGGGCCCCGGGGCTGCCCACCAGCATGGCCACCCTGGCAGTGTTCATCTGTGGCTGTAGGAGCCTGGGCCAGGCCCTGCATCTCTACCTGCTCAACCTGGCCCTGGCCGACGTGCTCTTCACACTCACATGGCCACTCTGGCTCACCTAATACCTGGAAGTAGCCAACTGGCCCTTCCCCAAGGCTGCCTGCCGTGTGCCTGGGGTTTCCTACTACCTGTCCACCTACGCGGCAATGGCTTTCTCCATAATCATCAGCACTTGAGGCTGCAGCTGGGTCGGTGCCCTGACTTCGGGCCCAGGGCAGCTGCCAGCCTCACACTGCGGGGCTGGGGACCCACCCGTGCCGCTTGCGTTGCTGCCTGGCTGGCCTGCCTGCCCGCTTTGTGCCTTGCTCTCGCTGTACACAAGCAGGGGCTGCACAGTGTGGTCCACTGTTTCCTGCATGGCTGGGCGTGCCAGCTTGTCCTGTGCTACAGTGGCCTTTGCAGTTCTCTTCCTGCTGGTGCTCATGGGCTGCACAATCCTGGTGCAGACTCTCATGGAGTTACCAGGCCTGACCAGGCCCGGCCGCAACAGTGTGTAGCCAGGAACATGGTGCTGGGACTGCTGCTGATCTTTGCCCTCTACCATCTGCTGCTGGCGCCTTGGGTAGCCAGGCAGGAGGGTGTCACGGGCGGTAGTTCCATGCCGCCTCCACGCTCTACGTTCTGCATACCCTCAACCTGGCGCTGCTGAACCTCAGGACCCACTGATCTATTGCTTCTCCACACACTGCTTCCTCCAGGACTGCTGGGCACTGAGCTGCTGCCCCAGGGCTGGGGACACCTGGGGGAGAGCGCAAGCGGCCTCCTTGGCCTCCTCCTAGAGAGGCCCAGCCCCCCTTGCTGCTTCATCCCCCGCCACCCTCCCAGTGGTATCTATGGATGGAGAAAACTCCTTGGAAGAGCCTATATTCCAATTCTTTTTTAAAAAATTATTGATTATGCTATTACAGTTGTCCCAGTTTTTCCCCCTTTGCCCTGCTCTGCCTGGTACCCCCATTCCCTCCGGCAATCCCCTCCTCACCTTAGTTCATGTCCATGGGTCATGCACCTAAGTCCTTAGGCTATTCCATTCCCTATACTGTTCTTAACATCCCCCTGTCTATTTTGTACCTACCAATTTGTGCTTCAAAATCCCTCTACCTTTTCACCCATTCTTCCCCTTCCCCCTCCCAGTTGATAACCCTCCAAACGGTCTCTGTATCTATGATTCTGTTCCTGTTCTGCTTGTTTGCTTAGTTTGTTTGTTCTTTTTTTAGATTTGGTTGCTGATAGTTGTAAATTTGTTGCCATTTTCATGTTTATAGTTCTGATTTTCTTT